GAACCAAGCACATCTTTAAGCTCTGTTCAAGATCCATCTTCGTCATCGATATCTACGGAAGAACTAAGCACATCTTCAAGCACTGTTCAAGATCTATCTTCGTCATCGGTATCTACGGAAGAATTAAGCACATCTTCAAGCACTGTCCAAGGTCCATCTTCGTCATCGTTAACTACGGAAGAACCAAACACATCTTCAAGCACTGTCCAAGGTCCATTTTCATCATCGGTATCTACGGAAGAAGCAAGCACATCTTTAACCACTGTTAAAGATCCATCTTCGTCGTCGTTAACTACGGAAGAACCAAACACATCTTCAAGCACTGTCCAAGGTTCATCTTTGTCATCGTTAACTACGGAAAAACCAAACACATCTTTAAGCACTGTTCAAGGTCCATCTTCGTCATCGGTAACTACGAAAGAACCAAGCACATCTTCAAGATCTAAAGTATACACAACTTCACCGTCAACGACCACAAAATTACCAAATAATCCGTCTGAAAATGTTTTATGTCACGAATTTATGCCCTTTTTTTATCGCTGTGAAACTTCAAATGCAATATATATAATAAAGTCAATGCACAATATCTTATAATATAAAACGAATTTTTCATAAAATATTCTAGAATGCTACTCAGTACTATAGTCTTATAAAATATTATTATTAGCTATGTATAGTTGAAATCACATTTAATGACTATCATTAATGTGTTTCATATTATCATTAACATTCTGTTTTAAGTAGATTTTTTTTCATTTGTATCTAAACCTATATTATAATTTACTGGTGAATATAGTTTATAAAATATTATACATCCTTAACTGTTTTAAATATCATTGTTAAATGTGTCATTGTTATTAGTTCTGCAGGCTAGTTGATTTATAAATACTTTGCGCTTTTAAACATCTAGACGGTTTAATGGCGATAAACAATACAATAAAAATGTCTTATTCAAACTTTTTCTCTTATATAATAATGCAAAATACACATAATGAACGATTCATATTTCCTGTCTATAGTAGTGGAGTAGCTTGTGTGGAAGCGAAAATATAAACTATCTAGCAGTTTTTGGCATAGTATTCGAATTGTATAAGCAGAATAAATATGTAATTTTAAATAATATAATTCATTTATATAATGAAAAATAGTAATAAAATCTCTATAAATGCATTTTAAAAATATAAGATATACGTCTTTAAATGTCACCTTAGTAACTGTTAAAGAAGTACATTATATTTGTTTTAATAACTCTCTCTAAATAACTAATTTAAAAAAAATTTAAAATAATGTTTACTTTTAGTTCAAAATGATTTTACTTTTAAATTTTTATATATATACAGTAAAAGCCGCTTATTAGAAACACTTTGGGACCAAGGTGAATTGTGTCAATTAACCGATTGTTTCTAATAAGCGATTGAAAAAAAAAATGAATAATAGGTACGCGAAAAAAATATGTATGTATGTATGTACCTATATTGTATAATTTAAAAAAGTATGCACAATTGTGTATATTTTACGATATTATGTAAAATATTTATCATTCGTAATTTGTTTTTTTACGTCGAGTAACTCCATGACCATATTTTCATACGAGTAATATTGCCCCTTTAGCTTTGTCACTTATTTTGAGTGCGTATGTGTGTTCAGGTAGAGCTCCAAAATAAAGCCCAGTCTCGTCCGCATTGAAAATATCAGAGCGTGTGTATTGGGCTAGCAAATCGGTCAAATGAGTTTCAAACCACGAATGGTCGCATGAAAATTGGCTAAAATCTTAGCGTTTAGACATTTTTAGATTTTTAGAAAAAGGAAACACTAATAATCTTTACATACGCACGCTGAAGCTAAACTACAAACGGTACGACCAGTACGTACAGAAAGAGCATTCTCGCGATAAATTACAGTAAAAATAAACGTAACGACAACAAAGATAAAATTGAAGTACATTGGTTATCGCTAGATAATCGGTGTATATGTCAACTGACCTTCTCCCAATTGTTTCAAATAACCGATGTGATGTTTCAATAATCCGATTTATTTTCAATGTTCTAATATACGGCCGATCCGTCCCGAGACATTTTGTTTCAATAACACGATTGTATCAATTATCCGTGTTTCTAATAAGCGGCTTCTACTGTATATAATAATAATATTTAAAAACATACTGTTATAATTTATCTAACATAATATCAAACTGATATCTTGTACTGTTTAATTACTAAATCACAATAACATAATAAATTAATATTATTTAATAAATATAATATTAACACATTTTAAAAAAAGTTACAGATTATATTAATGAGGACGTATATGGAAAATATAGTTTATTTAGCACCAAGTTATTATAATATTTTTTTCAGAAAAGTTAATTTTCATTGTTTAATTTAGACTTTTGTGGTATTTTTAATTTAATAATTTATTTATTTTATATTCTGAACAGAGCGGTAAATATACTTAATTTATGTTGATGTGTATTGATTTTATGTACATAGACACTTTTCTAATAGTAAAAATGTTCAGATCATCAATTTTGAGGTAGATTTCAGATAGCAAATTAAATTTAGCTTATACTAAGGTAGACTAGAAATAAATATTCTTCAATACTACTTAAATATTTAAAAATAAATATGAATATTTGTTAAAATATTCATATTCTCATAAAATATTTTTTTTATTAATCTTGGTTACTAAAAAGTTAGCCTGTTTTTATTCATAACATTTTTCATAATATACAATGATTTATCATTAAATTAAAATTTAACACATCCATTACAGTGACAATTTAAGACAAGATACATTTAACACTTAGGTACCGTAGGTACAGCAGAGCAGTTACTTCTTTATTGACGGTTTATTTTTTATAACAATTTTCTAATAATTGGACAAAGTTTTGAAATATTAAAAATATAATATGTTTGTTTTGATATTTATAGTTAAAGATCATTTTTTTGAACAGAACACTAAAAATTCTTAATTAGTATTCATAATATTATTATACACCAAATAAAATATATGATTAATATAATTTATCGACATATTGATAAATTAATAATGTGTTAAAAAGTACATACGTACACATACGAATAAAGTGAAATTCTATTGATTTTATAATCACTTTGAAAACCTCAACAGAAGTAAGTATGTATTAATATTATATATTTTAAAGTTTGTAGCAAATGTATCATAAACTATGCAGACTATTTTGAGTGAAGTTTCCTTAACATTTAAGTGTTCAAAAACATTATTCATAAAATATTTATTGTATTTCTTATACAAGTGAGTTATGAAAATTTGAATAAGGCTTGACTAACTTTGTATTTAAATGTTAAACTATTAAATGCATTATTAGATTTCTTATTAAAATTAATATAAATAGGTAACTATTTAAAATAATTTAATATTTATTATTATGTTTTATTATGACTTGTAAAATTAATATACTATTAATAGAATTGTATTTTTAAATGTCCATATAAGTAAGTATTTAAATTACGATTCTTTTTTTTTTTGTCATATAAAATTGTAGTAACAGTATATAAGATGATATTAAAATTACTAAAGGTTCAATTCATTTTCTATTATTAAAAAAATAAAAATTAAGAAAAAATATAATTAACAATATCTATTATTTTTTATAATTTATAATCATTATTCGTAAAGACCTAAATCTATTCACTCGGTTTATAGTCAGGTGGAATTGATTTAAAAGTTAATAAAAATAATATAATTTGGTATAAATTATATTTATTATTATTATTATTATTATTATTAGGTATTATATATTAATAACAAAATAAATGTAATATTTTCGAAAAAAAATTAAATTAATCTTTAGTATCTAATAATAATTGTAAAAATATTATCACGAAATGTCTTTAGTGATGTAGGCTGTTAGACTCTATCTGCTTAGAATCGTTTTTTTGAGTATCGTGTTGATAAATTGTTGAATTCAAATTCAAATTGTACACGTCTATTACAGTTACCTCTACTATAAAGCAGAGTGATACATATTTGCACTTTTTTAATTAAGAATTTATATGTTGACATAATACTCTTATATAGATTTTATGTGTATTCTATAATATTTTATAACAATTCACACAGTATATATATATAAAAAAAAATAAAACATAAAACATCACTTTCACAAAAAAAATTATCAATAATGGTTTAATGATGTCAAACATTATTATATAATGCAAAAACTAGCCAATAAAGATTTATACATCCGCAATAACACTCTTGGTCATTGTTTATTTCCGGTCGGAAATATAAACCAATAGCTTAGTTCATAAATCATTTTCTAACTGGCAAAACTTTTACGTGATAAATGGTTTGTCTAATATACCATTTATTAGTTATTACTTTATATACTATATGTTAAAGTAAAAATTTAAATCATGATTTCATAACCATTTTCATGAATAAAAAACTGTATTAGATTTTTATCATCAACAAATAAATTAAATTTATGCATTCCATACATTTTAACTTTATTCAAAGCAAAAATATATTGACTAATAGATATGTATACTAAGCAATAACTTCTTCATGTATTAAAGTAAATAAGTGTAAAGTGTTTATTTGTTTTCATATTGATATCATATTATATAAACTGCTGCTTTTAAAATATTTTTATTACTGTCCACTATCAGTATGCTACATGTTAAAAACCACGTTTTTAATGCTGACAAGAGAAAAAAAAGACAAAAATTTAATATCTAGGTTAAATTCAGATTTCAGTATCTTATTGCACAACAGTTTTCTAACTCCAAGCCGATATTAAACATATATTTAACACCGAAACATTTAATATTTATTTTGATAATTACATGGTGGTTTCATGAACTACTTTGAACTAAATCCTTCACAACTACCATTTTCAGTAATTTACAAACAGTATAAAATTGTTATTAAAAATAAATTTACTGTGAATTTATCATGTTTTGTAATTTTATGAAAATTTTTTATCAAAATTTTAATTTTTTAAAAAAATATGCAGTTCGAATTTGGTCTCGAATCCATGTCCCCTGTTCCCCATTGATTCGACATTACCTAAATTATCATTACTTTTTTTTTTGAATCATTCGCAGTTATATAACTATAAACTACACTCAGGCCACAGCTAGAAGACAATGACTGTGTAGGTAATCGTCTTTAATCATAGATGAAAAATAATTGAAATTCGCTAGTTCAATCAGAAATGAATCCACCTTAACTTCTTTCAACATCCAGTGCAGGTTATTTTTTCGAAAATTAGTATGTTGCAGCCTTTTTTCATTTACATTATTGTTGTGTTGCAAATCATCAGTTGATGGTTTCGAATCGTCCATCCTCTGTTACTTTTTTAATAAGACGTAGAAACACTCTGCAGCTATGTTTTCTGCTACAGACTAGTGGCGAATGTTTTCATTGCAGGCGTAATAATTTGTATTCTATACAGTTGTCCTACTAGCAAATTATAATAATCCCAACATATTCCATAGACATCGGCCAACAAACGAAATGATTATGAGGAAGTTTCCCAGAAAATGAATGCGCTGGGGATATTCGTTACAATCGCGATGAAACCGTATTCCGCCTATTTATTACTTAATAAATACAAATGGATACTTTCGAGTATATTTTTATACTCGCAATACCGTACTTTTTTTAAAAACACGCAGTAAACAGTTTTTAAAGGCTCAAATCATACTTTCGATGTGTTTTGTTCACAAAGTATAGACAATTTTCGCGTATTCGAAATAACTTACATTCGTTTTAAAATATTAAAAATATTTAAGTACATAAATTAAAAAAAACGTTTTTAAATTATTATATAGTTTAAAATATAATCATAAAAAGTTATTTCTAAAAAAAACCTATATTAATGCCCTAATTTAATTAATAAGATCCAACCCTCTTGGTAGAATCATTAAAATTAAAAAAGAAGCCACGAGTATTTAAAGTTTTCATAAATCTCTATACAACGATGTTGAATTGTACATTAAAACATTTAAGCTATAATAAGAATAAATATTCATAAAGCTTGTGTGGTTGGAATAAAAAAAAAGTACATAAAGAAAAAAAAATTGTGACAAAAAATACTTTTTAATGATGACATTAACTATATTAAAATGTTCCACAGTCTGTATAACTGAAGTAGTATAGTTAATAACAATTTATTTAATTACCTTTATATTACCATTTACCATAGCCACGAATAAATTGGAAATAAAATGAAAAATATTTTCAACTACATAAAATTATGTGTTTACCATTTGTACTGAATTCACGTGGGTTCCCACTTTGATTGTAATCATGTTAATAAATTAGAAAAATATAGTAATTATTAGTGATTATCGTATTTTCTTTATATCATCGTAAACATTTAACTTTACAGGGTATATAATAGTAATATATTACGAATAAATAAAAATAAATATGACAATGCTATTTGATAACTACTTTATTTTATTCATACATTTTTATAGTAATATACTATTGTTATATTGAATGAAAGCACAAAAATATAGTAATACAATAAATGAGTAGGTTTAAAAAATTATATGTTACTTAAGGACGTGACTTTATCATCTTTCATAAGGTCTATAGTTATTTGAATGTATCAATGTGGAAAAACTCAAGTACTACTTAAAATAATTCACTTTATTATTGTAGATATTAAGAACTTTCAAATAAATACTAAAACTTAAAAAACACAAATTTTCGTTATTATAATGTTTGTAAAAATGTTAACTTCACGTTACAGTCTAAAAAAAAAAAAAAAGGTACTCCAAATAAAATAATGATATAATTATGTTAATAATAAATATAAATTATAAAAAAAAAATTATGAAACATTATTTTTGATTATGTAATATAAATTTTTAATTTACAAAATAAAAATAACTACTTATCTTTGGTTTATTGTTAAACAGATTTTTGGTATTCATTAATTAAAAATAAACTATGTCTAAAAATCCCATTTTTTTTTTTTTGTTTAAAGCCTAGTTAAAAAAGTCAAAATGTTTGTATATTAATTTTTATAAAGTTAAATATTTATACACTGTAAATATTTAAACAAATTAATATCTAATTGTTTATTTCACTGTAATTTAAAATCATTATAGTGATTTAGAATTGAAATATGCTACTCGTATTTTACTAGTGTAGTAATAATTATAATTATATATTAAAACTCGTGGGTTTATTTTTTCCAACGATTTGATCTCAGGTGTAGTATAATAATAATTGTACAGTAGGTGCACAATGCAAGTATTTTTTAGGTATTATAGACAAACTAAAAAAGATTTTTCGCGTCAAAAAAGAAAAAAAGTTTTTCAGATAAAAGAAATATATTTGTATTTTAGAATAGAAAAACTATCAATTGAAACAGTAAAAAAGTTTATGGGCTAACTTGAATCGTCTAAAACAACAAATACAATTTGAATGAATTCGATATTTATCGGTTTTGTTTATGTTTGTGTGTACAAAACGTATACACATAGGACTCCGTTACGTCGTAGTCCGGAAAAAGTCAACAAATAATCGCGGTCGCGTAGGTAACTTTTGATTATAGGTAATACGGTTGGAACGACCGGGATGGCAATGTTTCTCAATAATAGGCTATCTGCACGGAAACCAAAAACAGACCAAAAAGTATGTATTTTGTAGATGTTAATATAACTACGATACATTTTGTATGCACGAGCAGCCCCATATAAAGGAGTTGAAAGTCGTAAATCAGGTCCGTAAACAATCGTTACGACAATACATCGTAGATATGATATATTTACTAGACATATTTGTAAAAAATCACGCTTAACCTTTAAACTTTTTAACCGCGATCATGTAATTGCGTAATATTATTTTATTTTTAAAATTTTGTTACATACGATTTTCATACGTTACGCTTTTTGGTAATAAAAAGTTACTAAAAAAACAATAATATTTTAAAACTTCTTAAACATAAATGTAAATAACGAATATTATAAATAATAATTTTCTTTGTATATTATCATTACTTTAAAAGACGATTTTTTTCTTTGACGTTCGACTCTATAAGAAGCTTCTTACAATAATATGTTTGTCTTACTTAATATCAAAAATGTACAATGATGTACCTATTTGAATGGAATTATTATGTATAATTATGAATATATAATACATAATATGTACCTACTTATATTATGATGATAGAATTCATACTACTTACATGTCAAAAAACAAACTTAGATGTGGTGATCACTTGGCAGAGGGCTGGCTATGATTTAGCGGGCGCGTCGTGGCGTCCACGTGGTGGGCGCGTTACTCGTCCCGGCGGTGGCCGGCCGTAGGAGGTATGGATACCCGAATAAAATTATGAAAAAAACGTAAAAATGAAGAAACAGTGTCGCGAGCAGTATTTTATCGTCGTGTACCGTAATATTATTATCGTATTATTATAAATATAAATTATTATAATATTATCGTTATCGCCGTACGTGTTCGTCGGGAAAACGCGCGGTACTGCGTGCGGTGTGCGTCGTCGGTGGCGCCGGTGTCGGATATGTGTGTCGCTCTGCCGGCCGGCCAGTCGGTCGTGTCCGCTCACGGTCGCGGGGGGCGCAGTGTGTCGTGGTAGTTTAACCGACGATGCGGCGGTGGAGGTGCACGCGCGCCCGCGCGAAGTGGAAACTCGCACGCGCTCGGAGCCGACGGGATTGCACACCCTCGTCCACGATCGACGGTCGGTCGCGACGACTGCTGTGCGGCGCGGTGGATGTCGTACACCACACGTCGACGACGTCTCTCAGTCGTCCGCGGAGAGTTTGAAAAATGTGCCCTCCCTGACGATCCGCACCCGCCCCAACCCCACCACCGATTCGTCCGAGTGCGGTTTTCCCGGAACGGAGACAATCAAACCTCTACGCACCCCTATCCGTCCGAAATCACCCTGTCACCGGTCTTCCCTGAAAATGGACAAGGGTGGCAGCCACCACGACGGATCACTTTTATGCCGCAACTATAATAATATATTATCGTTTTATGAATATTAAGACGAGCACGCGTATCGTATATTATACTATTATATTATAATCGTAAAATATTTATAAATAAATACATTTATGTTATATTATATTAACACCGAGTAATTATACATAATAAATAGGTTACTATTAGTCTAAATGGTCGAGTACCTGCAAACATCCTACGCAAGTTTTTGATAATAATTTAAGTTATATTGACGGTGATAAGTGTCTCTAAAGTTCCTGTGCAACGTAATAACTAATAATTAACCTCCCACGGCATAATATCGTTTTTTCTCGATTAAAATATTATATTAGATAATAATTCCAAACGCATATTATTTACGATAATTTTGGGTTAAATCTGAACGTTAATAAAATTTAAAAAAATAATCTAACATAATAATCTGGTAAATCGAAAATGTACCTGGCAAAATCCATATTATTTAAATCCCTGCTGTAACCATCAAGATGTTGATAGAGTTTTTGTAAAAAATTTAATTTAAATTTCTAGATGAATTTGATAGATGTTATATTAAATTACTAAATTATTAATTTATAATTCAAGTATAATATTAATTATTTTATTTAAAAAAGTACCAAGAGAAATTAATGGACACTACTCTTTCACTTTAGCTGATCAAGATTTATTGTTTATATCATTTTAGGTATGCATTATTTTAAGTAATAACACTGTAATTATTGTATTATTTGTATACAAATTGAAAGTATTTGCTTTCCTAGTAAAAAATAAAATAAAAATGTTTATGCCTTTAAAATATATATAATACACAATAATCATTACGTACAAATAATATTATTCTATAGTTTTCACCGATAGCTGATCTTGAGAATACCCCAGAGACATGTATTTGAAATTTAATTTAGGCATCCCAGGGCTATTTCCCCAATTCTAGTACTGTTTTCAATTTTTGACCTTAAACAATATTTTTTCTGTTTACACATGTTATATTATCATAATCCAATAAGATTGTTAGATTAAGGTCAGAAAAATAAGCACATCTAATACTATAATATTACTTTACAACATTACCATTATATATTTATTCACTAAATTTTATATATTTTACTCTTTTTAAAATTACATAGTAATTATATTAATATTAAAATTATTGAATTATTATTTATATTATATTTTTATACAAACATTTAAGTGACTACACTTGTTAATATTCCAAGTTTAATTATCATCATATTAAAAATTTTAGGTTATCTAAGTATAATGATATTGACATGTTAGCAACTAAAACTTTTTTTTCGGAAAATTATAAAGAATGACACGTTTTGTACATACAAACGTAAAAATTATAATTAATTCCAAAACTTTTAATTTTATATAAAACGGTTGACTCACCACTTTCAAGGATTTTTGCAATTAGAAGTACTACCCTCCAGCTTGGTCAAACTTTGATCAAATTTTTCTTTTTGGTTAAATTAAAAATGATCTGAACATTTAAAAACTAGGGTTAATCTCAAGTGATACGATAAATTACATTAAAATAATTTTATATGCGTTTATTTTATCAGAAAAGGAAATTCGATATTTAATTATTTTCACACATAAATGCTATTAAATAAAATTTGAATAGTTTATTACAAGGATATTGATTAAACCGAAAACTATAATAATCAACGACGAACAATACAATAATATATTACCTAATTAAAAAGTCCAAAATGCAAAGCTTTTATGAAAAATATCATTCTTTGGTATTCAAAATTTTTAGCGTATATTAATTTTATTATTTTATACACACAATGACATTTTAAAATGCAATGTGTTTGACAAAAATTAATTCAACTCATTGTATTATTAATAGTAATATAAATATATCATGAAATATATACTTACTATTTAGTAATATGAAATGACAAACTATCGTTGAAAATAATCATTATTTTATATGCAATAATTTATTAATAAAATTCAAATTTAAATAATTTAATATAAACATAACAATAATTATTTTCTCAATAACGAGGTACATTCCTCACTTGTGCAATAGAGTGGTTACCTTCTTTTTTCCTTTTAAATTTTTTTCCACACATTTCATTATTATAGATATCCATTAAATATAAGTAGGTAAAAGTATTAAATTGTATAACAATAATTATGATCTAAAACAAATTAATCTATTTGTTTTTTATGTGATATATTTACGTTATACAATCTACCTGGTTTTTTATTCCTTGAAAATTTTTTTTTCAGTTTAAAATTATTCATCTCTACTTAAAATGATTTTAGTATTTTTATCATAACTAAATTGTATGTAGTCTAAGAGCTTTAATATGCCCACAATATATACATAAATATATTATAAATCAGTCAATTTAATAAATCATATGTTGGTTCGCTCGAATATTCACCTAGGTGCTAGGTGTCTGATATTGCAATGACGTTTGGAACCGTGATCAAGGCGGACACGGAAGTTTTGGCGCCGCCGTTTGGACGCTACTGTTTTGGCACCAACTAATATTTCTATATATTTAAAGTTACAATTTTGTTAAATATTACAACTAATTTGAAATTAAAATGAAAATATAGTAAATAATTAGTTATAAAAATGTACTTAAAAAATTATTACAAAATATAATAAAAATAAAAATAAAATCATGTAGTAAAAAATTAAATAGTTAATACATTAAAAATAGTTATTCTAGCATCTAGCAAAACATGAATTTCTATATATTTAAATAATTTATTAATATAAATGATTGGCATATAATCTAAGACAAAAACATGTCAAACGACAACTAAGATCGCACCTTATCTATCGTAAGTCGTAATTGTAATAAAGTATAACGATAAAAGCAAATCGTGCTGTTCACCCGATATATCGGTGTCATTATTGATTTATACGCAAAACCTTCAGATCATATATTGTATAGAATCTCAAACGTCGATAGAAAATAAAGGTCGCGCGTTATCTATACTCGTATCTCCATGACAAAAATAATATAACAATAAAAGTAAAATTTGTTGTTCACCTGATAGTTCGGCGTCATTATTGCCTAATATAGTTTACTAGCACGCGTTAGTGAAATGTTTATTAAGTCTGTACACAGTTAAATACAAAACAAGTATGAAAATGAAGACAATTCTCCATAATTTTCTTAATTAACTATTTATTTTAATAACTATTTAATTTTTACTATAAATTTATATCTATATTTTGACTATATCTTGTAATAATTTTTTAAGTGCAATTTTTATATCAATTCCATATGGTTAGTTGGCGTCAAAATGGTAGAGCTAAAACGTTTTAGACCGAGATCAAGATGTCGTAGCCAGGATGGTTTAAATCGAGCTTAGAGCTCATTTAACATCAATATATTAACTAATGATATTTTTAGCTCACTGAAAAAACATAATGGTCGATGCTGAATATAGTAGATATGATGTTTGAATCCGATATCAAAAAGCTGTACTCTTAAATTGATCTCACCATGTCAAAACAACTAGCTGAACTCAATGCAGCAACTAAAATGATTTAGTTAACTCGCCAGGAAAACATGAAACTTCGATTCAAAGCATCGTGGAGAAGACGTCTGGAGACGAAATTAAGGGCATGGTAACATGGCAAATTTTTATTAAACCAAATTTCCTAATCAAACACATAGTGATATGTGATATAGATATCTCCGGCGACATTTCCTAATAATACAGTGATAACGTGTAGAATCAAGGTCAAGACAGTGTTATCTTAAACGGTGTTTAAACGGTGTCATATGATCTGATCACCACGGAAGCTATATCATATATGGTAGTCCACTGATGATAGATTAACCTTTGAAGCCGAATTTTATAACTTAATGACTTAAAGCAATTACTTATGTCAATTACGAGTAATTGTAAACAACGATTATTACAGATCCGGACATAGACATTTTTCAGACGGATGTTTTGTTGCATATAGTCCAAATGTTTTCTATTGTGTACTCAAAGTGTAAGTTTACTACGCATACAATCTACGACCGCAATTTGCAAAATATAAAATGTTAGTAACAATTTACAATTATTGTTTAAAACAATGTATAGTATAGTATTATAAGTATTATATTATTATAATATACATTTTATAAATATTACATAATATCTAAATAAAATAAAAATTATGTTGACAATCGCAAATATATTTTTTTATTAGTCATTTAATTGATTTTATACGATAAGTTATCAATAAAATCTAAATAGCTAGGATGAAATAAATTTATGGTTAGTAAAAATTTTAACTATATATTTTCGTTTTTTTTTTTTTTTGTGACTATCAAAAATGTTTTCAACATACATAGAAACTACATTCGAGTACTCTCGTTGTTTATTAGGAATAATAAATGGATTAAATTTAAATTCAAAGATCAATTGTTGCATACAAAAAACGATTCTGAGCGGAGACTATTTGATAATATAAGTGTTTTATGAAAAAAATATTTATAGTACTATAAATGATTTATTTTTCTAGTAATAAATTACCTACCTAGTTAATATAGTAACGTGACTTTTATGTATCTTGTTAAAAAATGAAAAAATATTTA